GTCTAATTGTAACAAATATAAAGAGATAAGTAATTAACCAATGTTTAACATTTAACAATGTTTCTTCTTGATAGTCTCAAGAAACATAGAAACTACTTAAACCTGATAATAACAAGCCTGTAGCGATCAGAACGAATGCAGACATGAACGCTTGATTGAGGTTAACACAAAGCATGAAAGCGTGACTGGTGAAGCTCAAGCCGTGCTCTCTTATTTCTCAAATAAACTCAAATGTCATTATTAAAAAGCAGTCACACTGGCTGTGGGCTCTTTATCTTTGCTCTGTGATCTTCGTTTACTGAAAAAGCCTTGATGCACAGTCAAAAACCACAGAAAGATATTATGTAATATACAGATGGAACTCTTCTTCTTCTTCTGGCTAGGGTGGCTATGGCAGCCCATAGAACCGTCCGGTAAAAAATTGTGAAATTTGGCACACTGATTAGGGAGGGTCTAAGGATCTCGCAACGCCACCATCAAAACTTGGTAGGCATCTTCAGGACCATGACCATAGACTATGCAACAAATTTCGTGCCAGCGTCAGCTACTGGTCAAAAGTAACAATAACATGCTAAAAAATGCTTGCATCTAACTGCCATTTTTGCTACTTCTTTTCCAAATTTTATCCGGTCTTCACCAAATTTGGCTCACAGCACCCTGATGCCTGTCTAAACAACTGTCTACTGCCCTTCAGTCAGAGAATTCCACCACTGTCTGTGGTCAAAACATGCACATTATGAGTGAAACTACAAATCACTCTTGAATCCCTTTGCCTAAAGTCATGGCTCTGCTTTCCTGTGATTGCTTAATCAACAATTGTAGCGTGTCTGTGAATGTACAGCTCATGGACTCCGGGTGCTTGGCCCCCAAAAATGCTGCTTTAAGCTTAATTATAATTATGTTAGTTTGTCCTTTTGTTTTTTTTTTTTTTTGAGTCTGTGAAAAATGGAGGGACTATGTTAAAATATGGCTGTAATTTCTAAATGGTTAATGCAGTATTTTTGTTAAACTCCTTGAATTAATGCTGAAAGTCTACACTTCACTCACATCTTGATTGCTTCATTTCAAATCCATTGTGGTGGTGTATAAAGGCAAAATTTGTGTCACTGTCCATATACTTATGGACTTGACTATATACACTCACCATCCACTTTATTAGGAACACCTGTACAACTGCACATTCATGCAGTTATCTAATCAGTCAATCGTGTGGCAGCAGCGCAGTGCAAAAAGTCATGCAGATACAGGTCAAGAGCTTCAGTTAATGTTCACATCAAACATCAGAATGAAGAAAAAGTCTGAGCTCTGTGACTTTTGAAAAATGGCCAGATTGGTTCGAGCTGCCAGGACGGATATAGTAACTCAAATAATTACCCTTTACATCCGTGATGAGCAGAATCTCACCATGCACAAAACAATCTCGGCATGCACAAAACATCAAACCTTGAGGTGGATGGGCTTCAACAGCGTAAGACCACATCAGGGTCCACTCCTGTCAGACAAGAACAGGAATCATGGGCACAGGCTCACCCAAACTGGACAGCTAAAGATTAGAAAAAAACAATCCCCTGATCTTTTTCCAGTCTTAAAATGTTTGACTCAAGGTTTGATGTTTTGTGCATGCTAAGATGCTTTTCTGCTCACCACGGTTGTAAAGAGTGCCTATTTGAGTTACTATAGACTTCCTGTCAGCTCAAGCATGATTTTTTGCATTGTGCTGCTGCCACAAGATTGGCTGATATATTTCCGCAGTGCTTATTCTCTTGGCAAGATTAACGTCTAGATAATGCAAGCTATAATCTGCCTTATAGTTTTATACTATAATGTTTTCATGTGTCTGTGTCTCTGCGTGTATTTGTTGTGTGTGTGTATCTGACTTGCTGGTGACTGTTCCTCAGGTTCAGCTCTCTCTGTACACTTACCTGTCAGCTGAGTTCATTGGCACGGCCACAATCTACTCCACTATACGGCGAGTGGGCACCGTGCTGCAGCTCATGCACACACTCAAGTACTACTACTGGGCCACCAACCCATTGGAGAGCAGCGGCATCACACCTAAAGGCCTTGGTGAGCATGCAAACGCGCACACACACGTAAACACATGTCTCTCACAAACACACACCCACACACATTGGCAACCACACCTGTAAACACACCCCCACACGAAAATAAACACTCACACACGTAAACACATGCCTTTGGCAAGCACACACCCTCACATGCAAACACACACCCAAACACACACCCACACATACAAACAATCACATGCAAACACACACATACTTACACACACAAACCCACACACTTTAACACACAAACACACATATACACCCATGCTATACACACCCACTAACGCAAACACATGCCCACACATGCAAGCACACGGCCACACGCAAACATAGACACCCGCGCACACACACTTAAACACACACCGACACACTGAAACGTACATGCAAACACACCGATACACACAAACACACATACGCATACACCCACACGCAAATACACACCCACATGTGCAATACACACAAAACACACATGCTACCACACACATTGACGCCCATGTAAACACACATAGACAAACACACACACGCAAAATGTACTTAAATGTACACCCACACACGCAAACATGCCATAATTCAGTGTTATCTAAACAAACACCAAAACATATACCCACATACTTAAACACACAGCACACTCAAATACACACCGACACACATGCCAGCACACGCAAGTACACGTGTAGACATCCACCCATGCTAAAACACACACCCACAAATTTAATGTTTATCTGTTTATCTATCTATCTATCTATCTTTCTAACTTATCATTTTACTTACCTTTGAAAGTTCCTGTGTTCATCACTAGATCACTAGTCCATTAGTCCACTAATCCAAATAATGTGAAGAGATATATATGAGCAAGAGAGAGGCCGACGGTGGCAAGGAAAAACTCCCTGAGACGATATGAGGAAGAAACCCTGAGAGGAATCAGGCTCAAAAGGGAACCCATCCTCATCTGGGTGATACACTATATTACCAAAAGTATTCGGTCACCCATCCAAATGATCAGAATCAGGTGTCCTAATCACTTGGCCTGGCCACAGGTGTATAAAATCAAGCACTTAGGCATGCAGACTGTTTTTACAAACATTTGTGAAAGAATGGGCCGCTCTCAGGAGCTCAGTGAATTCCAGCGTGGAACTGTCATAGGATGCCAC